AGATGAATGCAGCTTTCATTGAATTTTTTGTTGATGACAAGTTGCCTTTCTGTTCTTGTATGACCCATATACCTTTTAGCCTTTGAACATTAAGAAGTTGAATAACATTGGCAATTAAAGTGAAAACAGATTCATTTTAAGACTGGATTTAAGTTGCTACTTCTATTTATTCTCTTCTTAGCTCTGATTTGGTCCATAGAAGGACTTATTTGTCTCTTTATCTGCTAAGTTCCTTGAAAACTTAGAAACAATTGCTAGAAGAAGAGGTTGTGCTGCTTTTTAATGTGAAGTTTAAAGTAGTTTGTCAGAGCACTCAGTGAAACCGCTCTCAACCTTCTATACTTGGTCCCAGGGATGCTACTGGGTGTTACTCTATATTCTACCCCATGCGAGAACGGTAGCTGTCAGGAGACATGCAGTGTTGCCAGTAGTTTGATATGCTAATCCATCCTTGCTGAGGTGTCAGCTGGCCTGCTGTTCACAGTACAGAGAGGTGAGGCACACACACCAACATGCAGCTAAACAGCACAGACACCTTAAGCTACATATATCCACACACTGAGCGCTGAATGAAAACACGGAAAAGTTGTAGAGGTGTGCATGCACAGTATTGTGCATTAACATTCACAGACGGATGCGACACAACACAAACAGGAATGTTAATTTTTCAAATGTAAAATATCAGTTATGCAATGTGTCACTCACTGGCTAATCAAAAGAGAGAAAGAGTGAATGGCAGGTCAGCCACAGACAGGATAAAGGCAGTGCGGACAACAAGAGGGTGAGTAGAGGAACAACAGAAGCAATGATGTAGTCAAACATACAGCATTAATCAACTCATATTGGTGTGTTAGTGTTAGGAAAACGGGACAAATGTTGTCTTTTTCTGTTCTAACGACATATCTGAACAATTAATTTACAGTTTACTGAATAATCTAAGCATGGGATGAGTGTGAATGTTTACAACATGAAACATTTGGGTTTTTCAACTATTTAAAATGGCTTCTATAAGTATTCATATGCTTCCGCCTCTCACTGTAAAATCCAGCTGTCTTGATCAGTAAAGAAAAACAACTCACACAATTGTAGACTGATGATGTTTTGCTATAAATGGAATAACACATTCTTACTAGGATTACTTTCAAAGGAAATAATATGTCACGACTTAGCTAGTTACATTAGCAACACACACACATATATCATTACTAGCGCATCTAGTGTGTAGTATATGAATCCTGTTAAGAAACTTGCATAGATGCTAATGGATGTTATCGGCTAACTGAATTGAAAAGAATTGAGTATATCTGGGAAATCATTCTTAATGTCAGTCTTAGAATGTATAAACTGACATTGTCCATGTCTTTAATATGCAAGCTGCATAGCTAGCCTTGATTGTTAGGATGCCTGGGTCGTTGACCCAGGGTGTTTGAGTTTATGTTATTATTTATACTTTCTAGTTTTTGGTTTCTTTGAGTTCCGTCTTATGGCTTATGTCTCCCCTATCACCTGCATCCCCTTGTCTAGTTCGCGTCTATGTGTATCCTAAGTTCCTACATCCCCGTGTTCAGTCAGTGTTTGTGTCTGCCCTGTTCCCACGTCTCTGTTCCCTTTGTAGTGCCTGCATATGAGTCTGTGTCTTTGTTCAGTCTGTGTTATGTGTTTCCTGTTTTACTTTGAAAGTCCATGTCTGATGTTAATGTGTCTGGTCTTGCTTCCTCTTGTCTCGTTAGGCCTGATTTGCCCCAGCTGTGTTTCCCTCCTGTTACCCATTCCCTGATTGCTCCCTCTGTGTATTTAAGCCCAGTGTTTCTCTGTGTCGCGATCTACCGTTTTCTTAGCTGTGTGTTCTGTCATTTCTCTAGTTTAAGTTTGTTTTGAGTTTTTTTAGTTTTGTTATATTTTGAGTATTAAATTAAAGCCTTTTTTGAGTTCACGTCTGTCTCCGGAGTCTGCACCTTGGGTCCTATTCCTGCCTGCACACAGCCACACCTAACATTGATACCTCTATCATAATTATTTTATTGTATTTTTTTTTATTCAGGCGGAGACTTTAAGCCAACTCATTCAATGTTAGCTCAACTTGCTAGCTAGCTCTGATGATAAAAGCTGCGATTGATTTAGAGTTGCTGTCTAGAAATGATAACTCTCTGAAATCAATCACCAATTATGTGGGAAATTACTCTAATCGTGGCAAATAATTGTTTGCTTGTGTTAAGACAACACTGTTTATTAGCATGATTTAAAATGCACCAAATTTACTAGTGTGTTGTGCTATGATAGAGCGCAATGAAAAGATTGAATTTAAGAGGTGGGAACTCAGAGATTTTTGTCACTGACCCTTTTGCATATGTATTTCTGGGAGCTTGTTTTTTAAGGTACAAAAGATAGCGAGGAGAATATTTAAATCAAGCGCGCAAACTGACTTACCAAGGTTTGTGACGTGTGATTTACTGCTAGCTGCTCCAACATTTAACGCTGAAAAAAAGCCTGTTTTTGCTCTTGATATTGAAACGAACTGACTCTGCCCTTTTTTTTTTTTTTTTTTTTTTTAGAAAACCAGAACAGCTTTTTTAACTCACTCGTAAAACTAAACTAACCACACAGGGCTGTTTGCCGGTTGCACTTACATTTTTATTTTGTCTCGTTTAGTTAAAAGTACACACTACTTAGCACACAGCCAAGCACATGCATGCATAGGAAATATAATACCTGTATGACAAATGAAGAGATGTTTACATACGCCCACACACACCTGTAATCCATGCCCACTGGAGCAGCAGAATCCATGCCTTTTACTCGAGCTGCTGAGCAGATTAATGTGACACAGCAGCAGAGTACACAGAGTGTCTTCACGCTGCTTCATGCTGGTGTTTGCAGCTGTGTTGCGAGCAGCTATTTGGGACCGTGCATGCAGTTTCATTTGTGTTGCAGACTCGACGTGCCTCTAATGGGCATCTAAATATAGACCACCTCATGAAATATTAAAACATGTCAATCGAGAAGTCTGGTCACGAAGAAAAGCTCTTTGGGTCTGCGTGCGTGACAAAAAAGAGAAAAGAGGTCAGAATGTGCACGACTCCGTAGATGCAGGTATATGCAAATGTGCTCAGTGTTCATGCATGAGATCACGGGGGCAGGTGGGATCCAAGTGTGCGTGTGTCTGTTCACTCAGCTCTGAATAGATATTAAAATGTACAAGCAGAGACCTTCTTACAGGACCCCATTACTTTCCTGCTACTACACTAATACACCCCTATCTTTTCCTACACACACTCACTTACATCAGACGGAATGAGTGGAGCCTTTAGTGTCATGCCATATGAGTAATAATGTATTTATGAGGCCCTTTGTTTCCTTAAAGGCTCCACTAGCCATATGAAACACACCTAAAGTGGCAAAGAAAAACTGTGGAAAATGTCCCCTGGCTTTGTACACACACATTTGACTCTTGTGTGCATGAGAGTGTGTGAATTGATCTCAAACAGGCCTGGAGTACAAATTCCTTCATTTCACTATGTGTGTGTGTGTGTGTGTGTGTGTGTGTGCGCGCGTGTGCGTGTGTATTTTAAGCCTGTGTATGCATATACGTGTATACTCTCGGAAGATGAGCATATTGGACACTGAGGCCTCGACCCAGTAAACTCAGCCAGCACCCTTAGCTTGATATCACATTTTAAATTATGCAGAATCACCAGCTACTCCGCCTGCAGCCATTCTCTGTACTTTAATGTGACTTTTCACTTTGGTCGTGCTTTATTTTGCAACCCTTTTATCCAGAGTGACTCCTTTTGCCGTTAGCTGCTGGCCTTATCTGCCTCGTGCAGTGTTTATGGACCGCCGGCACTAAGATTTCTCTCTTCTTTAATAATCACAAACAAGCAACGTTTCTTGGTTTTGTCCCGTGCGCCGTTCTTGGTTTGATTCTTAGACTGCTGGCAAAAAAAGTGACACAAGCGGAGATTAAAGGAACAGCCACTGCTGACAGAGGACAGCTCAAGAACTCCTTTGAGAGTACTGAGTGCTAAAAATTTAATAAACATGGGTGCAGTCAGTTATTTTGCCAGGATAAAGGGAACGTAATCTAGTATATCTGCTGATACATGCATGCAACGCTGCAGCTACAACGGGACACCATTTTTTTTAAATACCTTATTGGCTAAAAAAAGTTTAATTTCTGTAATTAAAGCCATTTATTAGGAACATTATTTCTATCATCACCAAAGTGAATTAATCAAGGTTGCATCAAAAATGAAACAGCACTTTAATAAGAGAGATGGGAGGGTTTTGGCTGTTGTACAAGCAGCTCCCGCCCTCCTCTTCCCAAATTATTCCCTTAACATTCTCATTTGATGCTTTCTAGATGCTTTTGTGATTATGGTTCATGCCTCCGTGCCGCGTGAGTCTGTGTTATGTGTCACAGTCTACGCATGTTTGCATGTTTACACTGGAAATGAAATGGTCCATGTGCAAATCACAAGACTGCAAACGCTTTAGAAGCCCTAATGAGGCTGCATGTAAAATTAGCAGTGAAGCATTTAATGTCATTATGCTTTGGCTGTAAGATAGCGTAAACCTGCTGTTAACCTATTTAACTCTGCTCTAACGCAGTCGTCAGCTAGTTAACCCTGCCTCTCTTTCTGACTCGCTATGCCATTCCCTATTCCCCATCCATGTAGATGCATTTTAAATGTTGTTCCAGACACCTAAACATGTCTTGGCCAATAAGGATTATGACTTTTTGCGTCACTTGCTCCATTTTTGTATTATTTGAAATGCTGGTCTAAAACTTTTATGTTCACAAATTGGCTGCTGTCATAAAAAATAAAGTGTTATGATGTGGAACGACGTGTTAAGACTGGTAATGTGTAAAACTGATTTAATTATCACTGCGATGCTACTTTGTGTTTGTAGAGCCTTAATAAAAAATACAACAAAGTAAAAGGTCTTAAATTAGTTTTTTATTATTTCTAATCATGATGGATAAACTCTTGAGAGATTGAATCAACCCTTTAAATGTAAATCTAGAACCTGTTATGTATGCTTTTGTGTCAGTTCAAAGGCTGTTAAGACTAGACTATTATCTTATGAGGTTAAAGGTCATTTAGCGCATTTACTATTTATAAAAGTGTCCAAATACCTGTATAAGCTCGCCTTGTAACAGCTGAGGGGAAGAAGCACTAGTCAATCACAAGATTATATTTTGTAGTTCAGTATTTGGGGTTGTTCTGTAGTGTCTGGGTCCAGAGTGTTGGCAGTGGATCCTTTGCACATTGTCATGAGATGATGTTTTAGTGTTGTTGATGATAACTGGATCTAGTCAAACCACTATTATTTTTTTTCTCCCTGAAGACTGAAAGCAACTTCCATTCTCTTACCAGTTAGTTCACACAGCCAGCGGAGGGTTAGCTAAGCCTGACGTTTAAGCAATTTTTTATTATCTTACCTTCAGTTAGCTTGGAGCTGCTGGTTTTCTGACCCTGTAAAAGTCAGCATTCAGTAAACTGGCATCACAAAGCAGCATTTATGAAGTAGTTGGGCTTTGAAAATTCACTCCCCATGGTGCTTAGTGAAGGTAATTCATTTCAATATCCAAAATGTTGCAGAATTAAACTGTCTTGGTATCTTTAAAAAATCAACCAGGACCTGTGGAAAAGTGCTGGTCTTAAAGAGGGGAAAAAAAACCCTAAAACCAGCACTCTGTTGTTAATTACACAGGCGCTGATAGACTAATAGAGGTGAGCAATGTCTTGCAAACTTGAATCGTTCTGCTTGTGCTGAAAAGTTTAGCTAAACTTTTCAAGCCAATGCCAGCAATAAAATCACAGTCATCCTTCTATTCGATCAAATCACATTATGAAACTATTCAGAGAGAATGAGGGAGGTGCTTGTGCAGTACCTTCCTGACTTTGTTGTTGGCAGTTAGGCAGATAGCTTGGCTCGTGCTAATTTCTAATGAAGGTGTTGTGTCCTTGCCATAAATGACTATTACTACGGCACTGCTGTGCCTTCTTTTGCCTACTCCCTAATTTCCATAAAGGGGCTGCAGCAGATGGGATCTTATATTTGATTATTTTTTAACGCCAGGCTCCATTCCTGATGCAATGCTCCCATTTTTCCAGACATGCGACTGACATGAGGAGTATTCTAGCTCGTGAGTCCCTGTAGGCTGGGTTCGTGTTTCCTCTAATTATCAAAATGGGGACCTTTCTTGTTTTCTCTGGGGCAACCATATTTTGTCCTTCAAGTTTTCCCACTTCTTTGTACATCCCCCTTACACCCATTCCGGCAGTTTCGTCAGTCCCTTTCCAGGAATGCGCTTACATTTGTGAGTCCTTGATGGTATGATTATTATTCTTATGTTGAGATGATGATTGCCTTTTGAAAGGCAAACCTGTTGACCACCACCACACTGGTTATCTCTGCAAAAGGTAGCATCAGTAAAAATACCCTGCTGAAAATCTGCCACACCCACCGTCGAATGTTGAAACAGTCCTTACACATGAATGCTCCCTTAATGCCGCCTTAACCCACTCCACCCACTAGCTTCATATTCAACTAGTAGTTAAGAGAGCTACCAGTCTTTTTTTTTTTAAATAAAAAAAGAACTTTTCACTAACTACACTTCATTTTTTATTTATGAAGCCACAAGTTTTACTTTTTCACAGCAAATGAAAATGGATTATTTCAGTGCATCCTTGAGTGAGTTTGTGAAAGTTTCATTGTTGGCCTCATTCTAACACTTTTGTGTCGCTCTCCCTGCTGAATTATACAGGCAGATGGAATGGAGAGAGAGAGGGAGAGACACTCAGGTAGTCGAGAGCAATAAAGGAACTGATAGAGGCAGGAAAAGAGTGTGTTTTAAATGGAGGTCAGGAATAGAGTGAGATTTAAGGGTCATGGAGCATGACTGGAAGAGAGTGGAGAGAGGCCAGAATAACATAGTGGGTAAAAAGCAAGTGGATGCCTTAAAACAGGACGATAAGTAAATCTGTTTCATCCCATTTCAGCCTTCAGTGTGCTTCTTCCTTTCTCTATTCTTCATTTCAAGGTCTGTTACAGACCAACACAGTCCTGCTTGTTGTATTCACGTTTAGTCTTTCTCCCATAAAAAAGAAATACATTGTATAACACGTGGGATGTAAAGTAGGTTACAGAATGCCTTCAAGGCCACGGACAGACGAAGTCTTTACACAAAGACTGACTGTTGTAGAAAGTAAGAGTCATTTGAAAACAGTTACATAAAAGCAGCTTGACAGAAATAAAGTCTGTTTGTAAGGTGGCTTTTGACACTGGTCAACAAATTTCTTGTAAATCATTTTAGCTTTCTTCAGACTGCTAACCCAGATTCTTCTTTTTTAAAGATCATTTTAATGAATTTAATGAACAGGATTTTTCTCCTTAAAAAATTTGCACATTGTGCAGGCTCAGTAACCACGTCCTTGGCCAGTGCTCATCACCCTTATTAATTCGACTCTTTTTCATTTTTCCCATCAGGACAAGGACTCCTGTCCCAAAGCGCTTTACAGCTTAACAATCAAGATGCCTATGCAGCAGCTGGTTACCATAGTAATCAAGGGCTGACACTTGGAGAATCAGTCCCAGGCCGCAGTGGGCAAATCGGAGGAGCAGTCCACAGCTACAACCAGGTGCTTGTTCCTCTGATTTACCTTCTCCAAATGCCCTTTCTCCGGCCCTCTGTCTTCTTCGTGTCTCCTGTCCCGTGTCCTCCTAACCTGTGCGCTCTTCTTCACCCTCCTTTCTTGTCCTCTTACATCTTCATTCACATCTGTCTCCCCCTTCCTTTCTCCCTCTCTGTGTGACCCCTTCTTCCCCTCATCTGTCTTATGTTTCTTCCCTCCACCCATCTTCAGGTGACATCCAGCCGTGCAGCTGCCCAGTTAGCAGGCACAGACTCTCCTTCACAGTCCCAGAGAGACTCATTTGCCCAGCAGGCCTTTGGCAGCGCTTTCCACATGTCCACAGAGGGCGGACCTGCACCTGCTGGACCATCCATGTATTACTCGTGTGCCACTTTGCCTGCACAGGTACATATCCCTAAAGGTATTACTATGATGCTTCAGTTGTTGTGTGACTGATGCGTTCTCCACTGCTCCTGTACACACTGCAACCAAAGTGTATTGAAGGGTTTCATGTAGCGATTGGATAATTTCTAATGCACTAATACTGAAGTCAAATTCAAGCTGCTTCCATTGATCTCAAAAGATACAAGCTGTAGTATTTTCACACGTTTTCAACACAGAGTCAGCAAGCATTGTTCGGGTAATCGTTGTGGCAAAGGCCACCAAATCTCTGCCAAATTACCTGTCTATTTCACACATCCCGCTGACAAACCCACAAAAGAGAGACAGAAAAAGCTTTTGTTAACAAATGTTAAAATCTCAGAACCACTGAACAAATTCAACATTCGACCTTATGTTGCTCAACATGTTTGTGGAGAAAAACCTGTGAAGCAGAATGTGTCTTACATATTCACTGGATGGTGTCAGTGTCTGTTGCAAAGGTATCCAAACTGAGCCCGCTCTTTCTTTTATATACATTATCGTTATTCTTGCAGGAACTGTTACTACAAAGTCCCGTTTAGTTGACTTTATTTCTGTAATTTTGGTAACTATAAAGTCATTACGTTAAACGTGACACGTGAGAACGTAACATTGCATTCGCAGTTACATGATCACTGCATGTGTGACGATGTTCATGCAAAGCTTTGTTCAGATTCCCATTACGGAAGAGAATGTGTGCATAAAGACATTAATACATACATATGCTATCATCATTATAGTTAGAGGTTATCAATATCGTTTCATTGCTTTGGAAACAGTCAAATAACAATTGAATTAACTTTAGGATTTATTACCCATGATTCTGATTTTTTTATTCATGTAACAGTGATTATTAGAAAGTGTGCAGCCTTCTGGTTGTTGGCTGCCACAGGGAAAAACCAAAAAACATCAAACTTGCACTAACACGTGCTGTAACAGGTGGCGATTTACACTACTGTTCACTCATTAGTTCATTTTTCATAATTCTTTATTGTAGCTCCGTTGAACATTTAAACTGATTTACCTTCACTTTTCCGGTGTATCACAACTTGACCACGCTCGTCCAAATTAACAGTGTTTTAAATTGTCCCTTTAGCTCTGTGCCTGAAAGGCATTGGAAATATTTGTTCAACCAATTCAATTCTGAGGGAACTTCATTTGGCGGCCCGTTGCTCACGGCTGCATTTCAAGTTCATTTGGTTGTAAAAGTTTACAGTCGTGACTTCATGTTTGGTCTGATAACCCAGAGCTCTTCATCAGGATGTTATCACGGATTAGAGTTTCTGCTCTCTGGTTTTCCAGCTCCGGGGGGGGAGTTGTTCATCTCTATGGAAGTAATGATAGGAATAAGAAGAGAGGATGAATATTTAATGTGAGTGACATTCCCAATTAATGAATTACAAATCTTGCATTGCAGCGCGTAAGCTCCCCTCTGCAGGCGGTGGGATCTCCTACCAAGCTGCAGCGGCTGGGATCAGCCTCTGCTGACATGCCCAGCTACGCCACGCTACAGAGAGTGTCCTCACCCAAGCAATCACCCAGCCGACTCGCCAAATCCTACAGGTTGGTCTGACTCTATACACAAATTATACATCGATTTGAAGAATATATCTTTACTAACCGAAGGCTTCTGACCAAATCCTCGAAGTGCTCACATGTGGCACCGTTGCTAATACGGCTGCATTGGCTCCCCATTGAATTCAGAGTCCATTTTAAGATTCTGGTTCTGACATTCAGAGCTCTTCATGGACAAGCACCAGCCTGCATCACTGAACTTCTATAGCCCTATGTCCCTAGCAGGTCCCTGAGGTCACGTGATCAGGGCCTACCTGTTATACAGCATACAAGGCTGAGAACTAAGGAAGACGGAGCTTTTGCCACTGTGGCCCCCAGACTGTGGAACTCTCTCCCACTGAGCTAAAGATCTGTGGACTCAGTAGTCTATTTTATAAACAACTAAAAACACATCACTTTTTGTCTGTTTTTGTTTTATACCTTGTTATCTCTGTGTGAAGCACTTTGTGACCTTTTGTCCAGAAAGGTGCTATGTATACAAAATTTTAAGTGGTAAATGGCCTGGATTTGTATGACGCTTTACTTAGTCCCTAAGGACCCCAAAGCGCATCCACCTATTCACACACTGGTGATGGCAAGCCACATTGTAGCCACGGGTCCCCTGGGGCGCACTGACAGAGGCGAGGCTGCCAGACACTGGCGCCACCGGGCCCTCTGACCACCAGAGGGGCTCGAACTGGCAACCTTCTGATTACAAGACAAACTGCCAACTCTTGAGCAACGATCGCCCCGTGGCTTACTTTACTTACTAACTTACCAGTTTATGCTGTGGGGGCGTCTTGGGGACCTACCTGAGAAGTAAAATCCCAAAGTGGAGGGGCACAGAGAAACTCAATAGGCATGGCCTATCCCATGGTCACAAAATAGGCCCTGTACACTTTAAGTGTTATACAGTATTTGTTACTTATTTTGTTACAGTAAGTCGTCCAGGTTTTGTAGCTACCTCCACCATGTTTGACTGTTGGTATGATGCTGTTTTTACGAAATGCTGTGTTAGTTTTACAGCCGATGTAACAGGACTCAAAAACATTTTGTCTTGTTAGTCAACAGAATATTTTCCCAAAAGTCTTGAAACTCATCACAAAGTTTTTTGGCAAATGTGGAATGAGCCTTTGTGTTCTTGCTCCTTGGAACTCTCCCATGGATGCCATTTCTGTTGAATCATGAACCTTAACTGAGGCCTGTGGTTCTATAGATGTTGTTCCGGGCCTGGGGTGACCTCCTGGATGAGTCATCAATATGCTCTTGGAGTAATTTTGGTAGACCTGGGAAGGTTCACCAATGTTTCAAGTGTTCTTCATTTGTAGGTAATGGCTCTCACTGTGGTTTGCTGAAGAATTTTGTAACTCTTTACAAGGTGACAGATGTCAATTAACTTTGTTTTTCAGCTGCTTCTTTAAGATTGTGGGATGATGTGTTGCTTTTTGAGATCTTTTAGCCTACTTCACTTTCTTTTTTAGTCATTTCTTGATTTAACAGGTCCAGCAGTTATCAGACCTGAGTGTGGCCAGTGAAGCTGAACTCAGATTTCCAGAAAATGTTTTAATTTAACAAGGAGGGACAGTCAGTTTTCCACACAGGGTCATTTAGAACTGGATAGTTTTTTTTTTTACCCCTGAATAGGTTAAATCAATTAAAAAAACAGTTTTTTGTATTTACTCGAGTTATTTCTGTCTAATATTAAAAATTGTGTTATGACCTGAAACAAGTAAATGTGATAAATATGCAAAAAATCTAAGAAATCATGGGGCAGATACTTTTTCACTGCACCATGCATCATCAGAGGTAATGTACCGGCACCAAGATGAACATTAACAGATTCCCATATCCTGCCACAGCAACTGACAAAAGCTACAACAGAGGTACAAATGGGTACAAACATGCTCACTGCTGTTAATTTACCAAATTGTAAATGATCTTACTGTAGATGATCACAGCAGGTTATGGCATTTCCTCTGTACAGCTTGGACTGAGAATGGTGACACACAGATGACAGAATACTCTGTGTACTGTTGGTAGGCTTTATTAATTCCTTGTCACGAAAGGTGTTTGACCGAGCCAAGCACGCAGCAGGGGCTCTCTCTGCTGTACAGTTCTGCCTTTATGCAAGGGACATTTAGAATATGTGAATTTGCATGTCTGTGCTCTGACTTGCACTGGAAAATCGAGTTCTAGGTGGCCTGCTGCAATGGGGAAAGGGCTGAATTAGCAGTGGAGTAAATTCATAAACAGTTCAGCTCATTTCAAGTTTGTTGGGGGGTTTTTTTATATGGTGCCAAATCACAACAACATTTGGGTTTTATACTCAGTGTTGGGAAGGTTACTTTTTAAATGTATCCCACTACAGATTATAGATTACATGCCCCAAAATGTATTTGTAATGTATTCCGTTACGTTACTCAATGAGAGTAATTGAGTAATACTGTTACTCAATGAGAGTAACGTATTCTGAATACTTTGGATTACTTAATATATTATCATGCTTTTTACAACTACATGAATGTACTATTGCTGTGTGATTTATTACCATTACTGAAGAATACTCGCCATACCAACTAGAGTTTTAAATCTTAAAATGAGTAACAGTAGGGTGGACATTAGGTACGGCTGCACTTTTTGTTGCGATCTTGCATAGAAAATTATTCCAATTAAAACACTAACACTCAGCCTTGATATTAAATAATTTTTTTGAATAATAATTTTTAAAAATATTTCTTCAAGTACGGGTGACATGGGTCGTGAGATTGAGACACAGACATTAGAGCCTCTTAATGCGTGTTTTGTTTGGGTTTCCACCAGCGTGGAGTTACCAAAAATAAAGAAGGCATAGCCTAACATATGAAATAAGAAAAGACCGCCGTGTAATCCATTTATTTCAACACAGTAACTGTATTCTGAATATCACCTTTTTAAACGGTAACTGTAATGGAATACAGTTACTCATATTTTGTATTTTAAATACGTAAAGGCGGTACATGTATTCCATTACTACCAACACTGTTAATACTGTAAGGTAAAATTGCTATGGAGAAAACCCCAACAGACAATCCCCTATGAGCAAACACTTTGAGCAATGGAAGGAAAAACTCCATTTGAACAGCCAAAAGAAGAGAGCACCAGAGACAGGACAGAACATACACTATTGGAGAAAGAAGACAAAATGTAATGACATGCAGCAGTAGTATATAAACACCCGGGGAACGAAAAAAGGTGAGCGAGAGAATGCTCAGTGTGTCACAGGGAATCACGTAGCAGCATAATTAATGGATGCTTCGGGGTCACCTGATCCGGGCCTGACTATAACCTTATCAAAATGGGAAGTTTTGAGTTTAACCTTAAAAGTAGAGAGCATGTCTGTGGCTGTTGGTGAGGAAAAATTGTTGCAGATAACCAGTTTTCACTGACTGCTATTAAAAAAAACAGTGAGGAGATGGAAAATTATTTAAATCACTGCAGTGCATTGTGGGAAGGTGCCAGAAAATGATGCACCACAGCTAAGGCTTCCAGAGGCGTGCAAGAGCTCTTAATCGTTAGTTATCCGTATGACATTGACTAAACAACGACTTCACATTTCAGGTTTAAAGAACACACGAGACCTCTCCTCTGTTTCACATCTGAATTGTTTTTAAGTCGTGTTAGTTTGGCAACAAGAAAAAGTTTAATATCAGACTTTTTTTTTTTTATCCAGGAATGTCACGATTTGCATAGAATGTTTTCTATAATGGAAACAAATAAAGGTGCTACATCATCCTGTCTTTAACGTTCGACGGATCGATTGAAGGGTTCAGCACTCCACGCATGATCAGGAAATCTTTACTGAAAAGTAAAGATTTAAAAGTAAAACTCCCCTAATGAAGTAGCAGACTGTTGGTGGGCCAGTCTTTACAAGCTCATGCTGTGGAGCCAAATGTTGTTCAAACCCACAGAATTTTATTTTAAATTCAAGTAGAGATGCTTTCCAAAAAATATGATACATTTGGGGGAAATGTATACAGCAAATCCCTTATTAGAATGGTATATTATATGCCAATAACCATGGATTAGCAATATGATATGTGTGATGTAAATGTAGGTTAAAATAACAGTAGAAAATACTGATGATTAAAAAAGCTAAAATTAAATTTCACCTCCATTTGAAGGTAAATAAAATGTGATTAAAGGGAACAGAGTATTCATTTACTCATTGATTTTCCAATAATTGATACAAGTATCCACTAATATAATTAAGTGAATACTATTTAATACACAAGGGACTCATACTGCTTGTTTAATATTCAGAAAAGATTAGTCTTGGCAGCTACTGAACAAATAAACATGACTTTAAGGATTAAAGCAGAGGTGTGAAATAAAGCGCAGTTTGATGTGGGTAAAACCATGAAGAAAAACCTCCCTTTAAATGCTTTTACCTTTAAACCCAATTGCCTACTTTTTCCTTTAAAGAACTTGAGAAGAAAAAAAAGATCATCGACAGCCTGACTTTCAACTGCTGTGTAGTTTAGGCTAACACTGACGTCACCACACCAGGAATAGCAGTAAAAAAGGTTAATAACGTGTCCTTATCTAGTTTCAGACTAGATCAGGACACATTTTTGAAAAACTGTCCAGTGAGCTGTATTTGACCCTTTTCAGTCCATTTCCAAAGACATGCTCGTTAGTTTAACTGGTGATTCTAAATTGGTGTGAGTGTGAGTGGGTGCCTGTCTGTCTGTGTCAGCCCTCAGATGGCGACCGGCCTAGTGTGCACCACACCTCTCACCTAAGATGGTAGAGAAACAATTAAGGAAATACATGGATGATGGATCTCTGTAGCTGTAGTTTTACAGACACTTTGATTGCCAGATTTTATTCTTCTTTTTCTGTTTTTTGTTGACTACTGTTTGGTGAAGTTTCACTATTTAGGTGAGGTCTGAAAAAGGCCTGAATGCTTCTGTTTGGCGCAACACTAGATGGGTACACAAAACTCTGTGTGAGATTAGAACTCGGATATGCATGTCTGCTGCACCGTTATCGATGCATCTGTGTTTTACACTGTGCTATTCATCTTTGTCTCTTAATCTAGGTTGATGTTTGCTCTCTTTCACTTCTATTATGTTTACGAATGTAATTTCATTCTAGACAAAACACAATATGTTCACGCAAAAAGTCCAACAGTTTCCGTGTCTCCTCCTCTCTCAGCACCTCATCCCCCATCAACATGGTAGCATCAGGTGCTGGCGGCTCGTCCTCACCGCTCCCCATGGTAGCCTCTCCAGGGGGAAATCACTCCTCGTCACCCATACACCAGCTTAGCTCTGCGGTGGGGAGCTATGCCACCCTGTCGCCCACCAAGCGCATGCTGCATCACATCGGAGCAGATACCTACAAGATTTCCCACGAGCTGTACGCTAACGCAACCCTGCAAAGGCCTGGTAGCCTGGCAGGTAGAGGTCAAGACACCTTTATGATTACTTTTCTATGTGTGTTTCTGTCAAATGCCATTGAGTCTTGTCAAGTCATTCATTTTCTACTTTTTTCCTGAACATGTAAAAACATTTTCTACATTTGTGGCCTTTTCCCCCTGTAGCTTTGTAAACAAATGTTAACAAATGACTAAAGTTTGTCAAGATTTTATTTCAAATGTATTAGATGTTCTTTGTAATAAATAAGATAAGACCCTCAAATTCAAAATAAAGTTTGCTTTATTTGTTTTTTTAAACATTTCCCCAGCATACAGTATCCCTAATTTATTGTGTATTCTTTTGCTTTCAGGGTAAATGGCTATTTTTTTATTTATGACTAGAGCAGAAGCAGTCCAGTACATGAAAGCATATCTATTAATGCATTTCATCATTTATTTTCATTTGTAGTCGAATTTGTCATTCAGTGTTATCCCACGAGAATATTTTTATAAATCTACACATGCATCCATCTGTCACTATGTCTAACTTCCACCGCCTTGCGTTCTCCAGGGTCCAGAGGTTCCTACAGTAGCCAGCACAGTCACCTGGGCTCCGAACTGCGACCCCTGCAGTCCCCTGAACACCACATCGACCCCATCTATGAAGACAGAGTCTACACCAAACCTAACATTAGAGGACAAGGTGAGATCTGGAGAAGGGAAATACGACGGTTCAGTGTTTGGAGTGTGCCTGTAGAAGATGGGGGAGATGCTTCAGAGTTTTCATGTGACGCATCTACCCCAATTTTGATGAGCAAGCCACTAGACAGGGATAAGAGATGCCTGGCAGGAGTGCAAACACTGACTGGACGAAACCCTTATGTGGACAATCAGTTCAAAAGAAAACCAACATAGTGGTTCACTTACTGTGTTATAAAATAGGTCCAACTAAAGAGGGCCTCACCTCTCAAAAGGTGACACTACCAGAATACATTGCATTGGTTAGATAGATAGTGAATGGGAAGTGTGTGTTACAAACATGTACAGTAGCAGTCAGGTAAAGAATATGGAAGAGATGAATTGTGGGAAATGTAGGATCTAGCATTTAGTGCAAGATTGACCCAGAATAGAAGAATAACACTCTGCTTGTGATGCTTTGATTTCAGCTGTGCGTCTCTTCCAAGTGTTCTAACTTGGAGTAATTGTAGTGCTGAATAACTGCAGCACCCACTGTGAGCTGAGACTTCGTTTCTTTTAGCCTGTAGTAACAACCGGCAATTAGTAAATGACTTATTTGAACCTGCAGTAACACTTGGGCTTGATTATACCGTGGCTGCGAAGACGGCCACCAAAACGTCTTCAAACAAGTCCATGACCATAAATAACTGCAGTGTGTAAATCACCCAGGGAATCATCTAGATTTAAAAATCAGTGAGTAACTATGAGAGAAAATATCTTTTATAAAGGAACAGGTCTGTAAAATCCTCACAAAGAGAGCAGGAAAAAGGCACAGCCTGGTGCCTCTCAGAAGGCAGGTGTTTTGTAATGGTGTGCTGTTATATTAAAGGCTGATGTACATAAGAGATTTCCTGGTTCCATCTGATTGTGCAGCGCTTTTTTCCCAGATCAGGTAGGCAAATCCAATTGGGGTCTCAATGGCAATTTGTCTCTCAGTCACAGTCTGTTAACTAATTAGTTTCAAGGCTGAAAATTAATCTCAATTAATCCCATGGGCGTTAGCTTGGGTGCTTTGAAATCAAAGCAAATCAACCATGTCCTAAAATGTTGTTGATACTGTGCTGCCAGTTCGGTCGTCTCAACTGTGAACGTTTCCATAAAGAGATGTGCACAGCAAAAAGAGGAAAAATTACTGTCAGTTTCCTTCCAAAATATAGTTTCACTCTGCTAATTAAAAGATCCGAGGTCACTTCTGTCACGCTGGCTCCCCGTACACACGCATAAACTGCTTTGATGCATCGAAATAGCTCGGTCATCATCTCCAGCTGCGCGCGTATGAATGAGAGTCCCGACAGCAGCCAAACGCCACACTGTTTTTCAGATACCTGTTTTTTTTTCTTCTGTTGAAGCCTGACTATGTTTCAAGGTCAATTCAAAGAGCATCAATATGATGAGCAGACTTGGAAATTTCACATCACAGGTGAATTTCCTCAGGGCTTGACAAGGTCCCTGTAGTTATCAAGTTGCGCACACACACACACAAAGAAATGACCCAGCACACCTCCCTCAGGGCAGGCTCAAGACTGTCATGCCCAAATGGTTCCCAAACTGCTGTTTAACGAGAAGATAATTCATGTGTGTGTGTAAAACATGGCAAATGGCCTTCGCTGGTCTGCGTTAAAGTGTTTTGATGTTTTTGCACAAAGTGTGCAACAGCCCTGAGGCTACAGACCCTCGCTATGGAGAATTTATTAGAGCTAGTCTGACAAACTGCAAATGTATTCAATAGTATGAACAGCCAAACTGTCTTTCTTGCCACTCTGCCTTCCATACAATAAATATGATGCTACAGCAAGCATCAAATTAGCTTCAAATTAGCTCAAAGCTGTTCTTGACGCATTGGAAAACAGCTAGCTTGGATCTCCCCAAAGCTAACAAACTCCTATACCAGCACTTCTAAAGCTAAAAATTGTAAAACTAACGTATTTTTTAAACAAAAGACAAAGAAAGCTAAGAATCTAATATGTGTGCATTTATATAGTTTTCTTGCTGCTGTGCAACTAATCATTTTCAACAAGTAGATTACCCTTATGAATACAGGCTTTCTTAAACATTAGGAGCTAATTTCAGTACCGTGTCCATAGTAAATTTTGAGTGGCTAAATCTTAACAAAGAAGTGTAAAATATTGAGTTTCCAACAGGATGCAACCACCCTTTTCCTTCTAAGCCACACAGACTTTGTAGATCTCTAAAAGGGGGCCGTTTATCACCTGGTGGCCAATATTGCTGTGGTTGGTGGGTGAGTGCACTGCAGGACATGGTGACAGAATAGTGATCTAATGACTGGTGCAATCTGGCTATGCTTTAAAGTGAAGGAGGGAGGTCTGGTGCATGCATGTTTCATGTGTGTTTCCGATTTTCTTATCTGCTTCATTATTTCTGTTTGTTTTCTTTATTTTTTTAATGACTTTTGCTTTTTTTATTCTTTTCTTTCCACTTATTTTTCTGTGTCACTTTCTTCCATTGGTGCTGGTCTTGTGTGCGTATGTGTGTTTGTACATCCTTGTGTTGGTGCTCATGTTTGGTTGCGATCCCCTGCTCCTTGCCCTCCTCGTCTACATCAAATCCCAGTGGTGAACCAGTTGTACCAAGAGGTCCTCAATTATCTGCTCTGTCCCTACGCTCCTCTTTCCACTTTAGCCCCACCCTCCCCCGGTGTCGACCCAATCCCCTTACAGCGAACGGGAAGCCAGAGCGCCACCGCCACCTTCCAGAGAGGCAGCTTTGCCACGGGAGGCGGGGCGGCCGACTACGCCAATCCGTACCGCACTCTGCAGTTCTGTCCGTCGACCGAGTCGCCTTACAGCAAGTCAGGCCCCGCCCTCCCCCCTGAGGCGGCGCTGGGCCGATCCCCATCAGTGGACAGCATCCAGAAGGACCCAAGGTGAGAAAAGACGGCCATTTTCACTTCGAATCAGCTCTGGCTTATTAATGAGACCCTTCGTTCTGCTCCCTTTCCACTTTTCACTAAACTTACTGAGGGCCAGATTCACCAAGTGAAACATGAATTATTAAAGGAAATATCAATAGTATCATTAACCTGAGCAACATTGAGCTTTTTTTAATGAAGAAAAGAGTTTGATTGAAAACCGCAAACGTGGTGTCAGAGCTGGAAGTGCGACATGGCGACACCCACAGTTTGCAGCACATAATTGACTGTCAGGATTTGACAGTGGAGTGCAGAAAAAGACTGGCTGAATCTGGGCTTTAGTATGAGGCACACATCACGCCGCATCTTTCACTGTCCTCTCTAGTTTGCCTGGTGTTGGGGCGTGTTCACACTGTTGTACCAATGCCTGTGCACACCTCTAGGTCCAATTTAAGAGTTTGCTGCTGCTGTTAGGAGTGGAGTGGCTCTCTGTCAGTGGCAATCAGTCACGTTCTGTGCAGCAGGTAGACAAAGTTAATGCGGAAAGTCTGCATGAAGTCGTCTTCTAGACCAGGAGATATCTCTGTATGAGTGTGGATGTCTGAGAGAGAGAGAGTGACACATTAAAAAAAAGAGTTAGAGAGACATAAAGAGACAGTGTAATAGCTGTTTTTATCACTCTTTTGTCCTAGTTAAAATGAAGTTTGAAATACTATTCCAATACTGTCTTGGATTTCTCTTTTATTTTTTAGCCTCTTCTTTGTAATGGCTGCACAGACTAGCTGTCAGAAATAGAAGTAGCCTAATTAAAGCTGAACTGTCTGTTTGGGATATGTTAGTTCAGGTACAGGCAGCGGATATGTTTATTTTTCCACAAATTTATTTCTCTAATGAGGAGCTCACTTTCTCTTGAATCGCTTATTGTGAAATTTAGAAACTCAAAACTATATTTTGTTTCATTAGCTCTCTTTGCTGTTGTTGTCGTCATTGCTCTTACATTCACCCATTGTCCAAGTGTTTATTTCTGTGTGCACATTGCACTCACGTCATTTGTTTGGTCACTCTTTAGCTCTGGCATCATCGTTGTGTACCTTCAACACATCTGCACTGCTACATTTAAAGGGCGGACTTTTGATGCATGGCATTTTGCTTTACGCTCACGACATGCACACGACATGCCGATGTAAGCGGCATCTAAAGTCATACGAGTAGCTTGTTAAAGGGAGGGTCCGGTGTTATGCTGCATCTTTCTTACTCTCAAAAAATCCCATTCAAAAAGGCTCAAACTCTTTGTTTGTACCGTCTGACTTTTCTACATTTTCTTTGACACGCTCAGCAGCTGAACACAATAAAGACTTTCAGATCTTTGAAGATAAAACAAATTGAGGCCCACTATTTTTCTTGAAGCAGCTAGGGACTGTAGCTTCTAGTAAGCAGTATTTTCTATTAATACGTGCAGAAGTATTTAGAACACTGAAGGATAGTGCCCAATACAGCCCCTAAGTCATGAAGTACAATAGGTCCGAGGTTTTTAATAGGTCTTGGAGAACACCCTATCACACAGAAAAAAAATCTCATTGTGGCCAAAAAGAAGATTATACCAGAGCATAGGTTTTCTGCTTTTTGCCTTTTGTGTGGGATTCATTGGCAGTGAGGGAAATATTGAGTAGAAGCAGACTTATTCATTTAACCTGTCCAGGTTCTGGGAGATTGGTCCATTGGTCAGCACAGCCTATAAGTGCACACACGCTACAGTCATACATGCTGGATTGTTCCTACATGTTTTGCGAACACAGAGTTCATGCATCTAGTGATGTCTCAAAAATATTGTGAAAAAAAATTATTTTGTTATTTATTTCAAAAAGGTAAACTTTAAAATACTGTGTAAATGTATGTATATATACATTTAGTACCATTCAAAAGTTTGGGCACACCTTCTCAATTAATGGTTTTTCTTTATTTTTACTACTTTCTGTATTGTAGATCCATAACTGATGACATCAAACATATGAACCAAGATATATGGAATTATGTAGCAAAGAAAAAATTGATAAAAAAAACTGTTTTATATTGTAGATTCTTAAAAGTAGCCACCCTTTGCGTTGCACTGCAAACCCTTGGCCTTCTGTCATTGAGCTTCAAGATGTAGTCACCTGAAATGGTTTTCAATGCCTTGTCAGCTAAGTAAAGAGAAACGACAGTCCATCATTACATTAAGAACTGAAGGTCAGTCAGTCTGGAAAATTGCTAAAATTTTCAGTGTGTGTCCAAGTTCAGTTGCAAAAACCATCAAGCACTATGACGAAACTGGCTCACATGAGGACCATGCACAAGAAAGACCGGCCAAGAGTTGCTTCTGCTTCTGAGGATAAATTCATCCAAGTCATCAGCTTCAAAAATCACAAGTTGGCATCACCTAGGATTAGAACCGAGATAAATGCAGCACAGAGTTCCAGTAGCAGACACATCTCTACATCAACTGTTCAGAGGAGACTGCGCGAATCAGGCCTTTATGGTCAAATAGTTGCTAAGAGAACACTACTAAGGAAAAGCAGCAAGCAGAAGAGATTTGTTTGGGCCAAGAAAAACAAGGAATGGACAGTTAGACCAGTGGAAATCTGTGCTTTGGTCTGATCTTTGGTTCCGCCCGCTGTGTCTTTGTGCGATGCAGAAAAGGTGAATGGACAGTTTCTACATGCATGGTTCCCACTGTGAAGCATGCAGGAGGAGCTGTGATGGTGTGGGGATTTTTTGCTGGTGACACTTTTGGAGATTTATTCAAAATTGAGGGCACACTGAGCCAGCATGGCTAACACAGCATCCTGCAGGAACATGCCATCCCATCCTTTTTGCGTTTAGTTGGACCATTGTTTCTTCAACAGGTTGTGTAAGGGCTGTTTGACCAATAAGGAAAGTGATGGAGTGCTGCATCAAGAGAAGGCCAAGAGTGTGCAAAGCAGTAATCAAAGCAAAGGGTGGCTAATTTGAAGAATCTAAAATATAAAACATGTTTTAAACTTTCACACTTTTTTGTTTACTACATAAATCCATATATGTTCTTTCATAGTTTTGATGCTTTCAGTGAGGATGTTGTAAATAGTTATGAAAATGTAAAAAAACAACAACAAAACAAACATTAAATGAGAAGGTGTGTCCAAACTTTGACTGGTAAACCCTTTGTCTTTAAAGTTCCAGCACTGAAGGTTACAGCTCATGAAAACCAGAAATTCAGTACCTCAAATTCTAAGACTACTTTGAGCTGAGTACATAATTCAAACAGTATAAATACTGTGTATGTCTCGTTCTACTTCAGTAAAGACAATTACGATCACCGGGGAAACTGCTGACTTAACAGTTGTTCTAATGATCGACAACCTCGACTTGGAGGGTACACTGCAGAAGGTCATTGCTGAAAAGGCTGGCTGTTCAGAGTGCTGTATTGAAGTGTATTAATGGAAAGCTGACTGGGAGTGGAAAGTGTGTTAGGAATAGCTGCACAATGCACAATCAGCAGAGATGCCTGTAGCTATAAGAGGATTGTCAAGAAAAGAGCTTCAAAGATTCAAGAAATTTGAAGAACTTCACAAGGAGTCAATTCAACAGGTTTCAGTGCATCAAGAGGCAACATGGAAAGACATCTGCAAGCTACCAGAGCTATGCAGAAAAAGAACTGGATTCTAGATCTGTTGAGGTCCTAGAGTCTGGAGAAAGAGTGGTGTTTGAAGTCCAGTTTCAAGTTTCAGCAGTCTGTGATCATCTGGGATGCCATGTCATCTGCCGGTGCTACGGTTAGGTTGGTCCACTGTGTTTTATCAAGTCCAAAGTCAACATAGCCATCTACCAGGAGATTTTGGAGCACTTTGTTCTTTCATCTGTTGACAAGCTTTATGGAGATGCTACAGATGAGCAGAAGGCCACTGCCAAAGCAACCTGAGCTTCAACAGTCCCTCAGCAGTGCCACAAGCTTACATCCATGCTACGCCACACTGATAAAGTAATTCATGGGAAAGGAGCCAAAACCAAATATTGACTAAAGAAATAAAGATGCTTTTAAGAAGTTTGACATTTCTGTATTGTAAATCGTTTTTTGGATTAATCGTTGGAAATATTCTAACTGTATTTCTGATTTTCATGAGCAGTAGCCTTCAAAAGTAAAATATGTAGCACTTCCATAAGCTGACATAGTTACCCAAAATACAAAGCATATGTTTAACGTCTCATTTAAATCTAACTAAATAAACCCAGCTTACATGGAACAGGCTCCGGAATGCTTGTCATTTTCTCACTCATTAGCTACTGTGTAACCAGTCCTGCTTAGCTTTAATGAATCTGCCATCATTCAACAGCTAAGTTGACCTAAAAATTATTTAAACCCTTAAGCTATACGGTATTTATGCAACCACCAATAGCTAAATTTCTGAAAGCAACAAGGGCTTACCTTGTTTCTTTTGTCCGGAGACCCTCTCTTTATCTGACATACTCGCCATTTCCCAACCATCTGCTCCAAGTGCATGTTCTCCACCCTGCCCACATCCTCTATTGCCTGATAACAAAATGTTAAGAGAGAAAGATGAGTCTACTGGCTACAATTTTGATTTCTATTGATTACTATTAATTATCACTATTATAACAGGTATTGAATAATTTGTTACCAGACAGTCGACATATACCTCTCTCTTGTTTCTCTCTGCCTGTCCCCCCTCGATAGGTACGACCCCGAATTCCTTGTGTGGAATCAAAATCAAGCCGAGCAAAGAATGACAAAGTAATCCAACTATTTATTTATACTATTGTACATTCTGTCTATCTTACCTTTGTCTCATTCACTGAATCTTTCCATCCTCTCTATATGGCACCACTATCAGAAACAGATGTTAATGTTAATGGCAGCATGACAACATTTCATATATGCATTGTCACCCATTTAGCACTGCATTAAGCAGGAATCGCTTTTATTCTTAGTGTTACTTGGGTTCTAAATTGGAGAGCAGATCAGGATTTAATCACGTCATCACATAACATGAGCAAAGAAAGACAAGAAAATGATATCGCTAACCAAATATCGATTGCTTTGCGTGCAATTTGTAGGTATTTGGCTATCAGAGCCTCTTTTACATTGTCAACATTCCTCATTCTCTCCGTTGGCTTTTCATGTCTCCATCCATACCTTCATGAGTTTATCTATCTGTTAGTTTATTTGGCCGTTCATTTGTCTCCATTGTCTGTCTGAATCATCTCTGAAGTGACTTTGTGTCAAGTGTATTCACGTGGCTTGCCCGGTTTTCATTTTCGCACCTGTTTTTGTATTTTGTTTTAATGGTGCTGATCTTTTCATCTCTGGAATGCAAACAGATCTGTTTTCCTGAATACATGAGTTTTCCTTTATTCCTGAAAATTACTGAAGCACCACCATTAATCTTGAACTCAGTGAAGCCAAAAGCCAAAAATATTCAATTTCCAACAAGTGCTTATAAATATCCCTGCTAGCCTGTGTGGTTTTATGAGTTGTCCAAGCACTTTTGTTTTTTCACATGTCTCCTTTTAAAGAGGGCTGTCGATCCATTTAATAATGTGCCACTTTGTTTCACTTAAGAACATATTTCATAAACTAATGTACTAACCAGATATGTAAAATCAACTAACAGTACTGACACAGACAACATTAGCTCACTCTTCAGAATGTGAAATGCCAGTGATTTTCTTATCAGTGCCATTCAGGGTGTTATTGTCCGAACCAATACAAAAATTTAATGCTGCTCTTGGAAAATCCCTTATAAAGGATTCAAATTCACAAGCTAAGCTCACTGAACTAGACTAGACTTTATTTACTGTATATGTTTGAGGAGATGAATCAGCAGATTAGTAGTTTTATTGTGTTATGTTGAATCATGTCAAAATGAAATGAGCCCAGTGAATTAATGAACCAATGGAATTGAGAACATGAGTCCATAGGCTTCTGTCAGTGAAAACAGAAAGGACTGGATCAGTAAACATCACTGGCTGCACATAAGCAAAAAATTAAGGTTTCTAATTTAAATGCATACAATGTAGCAGAAATATTGTGTTTTGAACAGGATACGAAGTGAACCCGACACAAATCTCACTCTAAGCTGAACTCAAAAGTTGGAGCAGTTTATAATGTGTATACTGTGCTGTGAAAAGTTGCATATTTGTCACACTTGTATGTTTGCAGCGTAAAAAAATATACCCCCTTAAATTATGAATGAATTGCAATTAACCAAACTTTTTTGGAAAGTTGAGTTTAATTTATTAGCCACTTCTAGGTCTAATAACTGCCAGACCTGTTAAATCAAGAAATCATTTAAATAAAAACTGTCAACGTAAAGTAGTAAAGATCTTTAAAAAAAAACAGCATCATCCCACAATCATAAGAATCTCCAGATGTTTGGGACTCCAGTAAGAGCCATTATCCACAAGGGAGAAGACTCCGTTTCCAGCAGTGGCCATCCTACCAAATATACCTTAAAGAGCACATTCCCTCCTCCAGGAGGTTACAAAAGAACCCAGAACAACATCTATAGAACTGCAGGCCTGACTCGCCACAGTGTTCATGATTCAAGAATGAGAAAGAGATTTGGCAAATGCTCAAAAACCATCCAGTATGGCTGAAATAAAACAATTCTGCAAGGAAGAGTGGATCAAAATTCTTCCACAGTGATGTGAAAGACTTATTGACAGTTATTGATCACTTGATTGCAGTTCATGTTGCCAAGCGTGGCACAGCTGGTAATTAGGTTTAGGGAGCAATTACTTTTTCACAGCACTGTATAACTATTAATTTTGAAAAAGGTTAAATGTTAAATTAAATGTCAATTCTTTGGTTTGAGACTTTGGAAGCCTCAGGTTTTCAAACATTAAAACTGAAACTGAAACTGTCATAAACACAAATCCATTTACCACAGTTTGTGACAACTGTATGCCACTGCATGTTATACTTGTATAACTATGCACGTGACCAATAGAAGATCTTGAGAAATAAAAGATCTTGAATCTTTCTTTCTTTCTAGCTGGTAGGCAAACATCCAGCAGTCATAGTAGGAACATAATAATAATAATAATAATAATAGAGTATAAAAAGAAAAAAATAAACGTGCCCTTTTCTTCCTGAACACGTCAGCTGCACTACAATCAGCAGATATGAGTTTATATGCTGGGAGAAGGAAAGGGCAGTTTACAACTTTTGAGGGTTGAAGGTACGGAAAATGTTTTTGTAGCACAAAAGGACAAGAGCACAATGGTAAAGTGCAAACTGGATAACTGTATTATACTGCTAACAGAATTTTTAACTCTCTGCATACACAGACAGCATGCTAACACAAAGCTAGCAAAGAGCCGAGAGTGATGTTAACGCTGACAGTATGCTGAACCCCAGCCCAGCAGCCAGAGCCTAACTAGTAACAAAGGCAGTGATGAGCAGTCAGGCTCGTAGCTTTGAAGCATCATTTCTACCTGTAGATGTTTACTCTTATCACTTTGAAGTCTTTTAGGGCTGGTTTTAATTTTTGGTTTATTTTGTCTACTTTGTTTTCAGAATGAAAAATTACAAGAAAGATCTTTTCTTTTTTTTTTTGGCCTGTCCCGTTTGGCTCTTTTGCCATCAGAATTGTTGTCTAAAGGCAAACAAAGATGCCCAACGGATTTACTTTACCAAATTGACCATCCCAGCCTTGCCGTAATGGTCCATTTGATTCACCTTTTATTGTTTATTTTATTTTCACTTACTGAATACGGGACAGACTTGACTGGGGGAAAGAAGGGGAGAAAGAAAGAGGGAAAGAGAAACAGCTGAGAAGAGGGACAAAACAAAGATCTTGTGTGTCCTCATTAGGATGAAGAATTGTGTTGGTGTGTGGCACTGTAGTCCAATCAGTTATCATTAAGGAACAAATATTAACTGTATTCTTAACAGTAGGGTCTTTACCTTTCAATCCAAATGGCCTTGAGGCAACTGTTGTTGTAAATATAACTGAATTAAATTGAATCATTGGTAGTCAGTGATGTAATGTTACAGCTGCCAAAGAAAGCCTCTGCTCTTATAAAAACACATCAGGCAGGCTTATTTGCACCTGAACACACAACTTCTGGAACAGAACATGTCCTTTGGGCAGACAAGACCAAATTGGTCAAATTTGTTCATATGGTGCTTGGTGTTGCATGTTTGGCCAACACCAAGCACCATATCAACACAAACTCCTCAAACACAAACAGCACAGTGGTGGAGGGGTAAGAATTTGGCTTGTTTTGCAGCCACAGGACGTGATGACCTTGCAGTGGTCCATTAGACCAACAGGACAATGATCCAAAATACAGCAGCTAATCAAGGTGTTGCAATGGTCCAGTCAAAATCCATATCACAACCTGATTGAAATATTGTCCATAAACAAATACCCACAATCCTCTTCTACAGTGTTAAGGTTAGAGAGACAAATAAAATCAGATAGAAAACACTGATTTCAAATTATTGGCGCTAAAGATGGTCCTACAAATGACTGACTCATGTGGTGTAATTAGTTTTCGCATACTGGATAGACTCCAGTCAAAAGTTTCCTTTTCGCCTGACCATATAAAGTCATCATTAAGATTTTTCATCATAATTTTCAGAGTTAATACTTTCCTTCTTGTCTTCTACAAAATCAGCTTCAGTAATGAAAACTATTTGATTTTTGAAGGCATGAAAATAGAATTTACATGAAAATGAAAAATAGATCAAATAATTTGTTGCACTGATGCTATCTGTAGTGACATAAATGAGGAAACGCTCATTAAACTATCTTTATACTCTAAAAGATTCAAACAAATTTCATTTACCTGATTTTTCAAGCCGTTCGCCAGCATAATCTGGCAAATCAAGACATGTTACTGTAGAGACAGCATCTTATGTACTCCAACGCACTTCCTCCCTTAGGCTTCTGGTAATTTATGGAAACATTCATGCTAACACGAAGACAGATTTGTAAGAGACAGGATCTGACCCGATCCTAAAAGTGCCTGATTTTATTTCATGCTCTCCTGCACACTGAGAATCTCTGATCCATACTCAGTTACATGGATAAGATGGACTCTGTGTGTTTGTATGTGTGCTTCTCAGCTTTGCCTGACATCTCCTGACCTTTCGTTCATCTCGTCCAGCTTCAATAGGCCAGTCAGTCAGCCATGCCATCACACCCTCATGCACACCAACAGTATCTTCGTAACCCAAACTTTACACACACACACACACACACACACACACACACACACACACACACACACACACACTTTTTCTCAAATTTTCTCCCTGCCTCAGTTTCTGTTCTCCTTCCCATCAAGTCAACTTCTAACTTTTTTCCTATACTGAAACTACAAAGATGTCACCCAGACATAAACAAGCACACATAGCTTTAACTTGCAGCTGCTTTAATGTGTAAATGGGTTGTGCCACAAAAAAACTCATTCATCAAATACAATAGATTTCTTCTCAACCATAAATGATATATAAAGGATAGACATAGCCTTGATGTTATTGTTTTGGCCTTCGGCATGTTTTTCTTGTTTGAAGCTAGATGTTTCCATATCTGGATTTAGAGTGGACCGATAACTTTTTAGACCAGATTGTCAAGATGAATCCAAACTCTATGGATGCATCATATAGACACAAATGTCTCCTCTAACTATTGCAGTGTTTTGGTTACCATGGTATTGTCCTGAGTGGTAGTCTACCACAAAGTGAGATAAAGGGGTTAGTGAGGTATGTTGGCCTTAAAA